GTGAAACTGCATAGAGAAAAAGTATTAAACACATGAAGAAAGAGAGTCACAAAAAGGCATGGAAAGTCAAGACATCAGCCGAAGTCTCTCAGTAATTAGAAAGCAATCCTGCTCCTTCTCAATGCAAATTAATATGAGCTGGTTCAGTGCCAAATGATGGCCTATAAAAAGGTATGTCTGGTATCACATAAGAAACATATCATGGTAAGAGTAAAGAGCTTTTTCAAGTCCTTCGCAACCTTGTTGTTGCAAATCATGACGGCCTTGGTTACAGAATGATTTCTAAACCTCTGAATGTTCAAGTGAGCACTATTGGAGCCATAACCCTGAAGACGAAAGAATATAATTTCACCATAGACTGACCATGACCAGGTGCTTCCTGCAAGATTTCTGACAGAGAAGTGAAAATAATTATAAGAGTTGTCCAAGAGCCAAACACCAATTGTAGAGAGCATCAGAAAGACCTGGAATTAGCAGGTACAATTGTACCTGGCCTGTATGCATGCTCATCACATAAGACTCCATCGCTGAAGAAAAAGCATGTTGAAGCTTGTTTGAAGTTTGCAGCACAACATTTAGATAAGTCTGTGAAATACTGGTAGAATATAGTCTGGTCAGATAAGACCAAAATTGGATGGAAACTCTTTGGATGCTATAATACACATCATGAATGGTCAAATGGCACAGCACATCATCCCAAAAATCATACCAACTGTGAAATATGGAGGTGAGAACATCATGGGGTGGGGCTGTTTTTCATCATATGGTACTGGCAAACTAAAAATAATTGAAGAATGAATGTTAAAATGTACAGACATTCTTGATTAAAAAAATCTGCTGCCATTTAACCAGGATGATGAAGATGAAATGTAGGTGGACATTTCAGCAAGACAATGACCTGAAACACACAGCCATGGAAACTCAACTGGTTTCAGAGTAAGAAATTAAAGCTGCTAGAATCAACCAGCCAATCATCCAACTTGAATCCAATAGAACATTTATGGAAAGAAGTAAAGATCAGAGTTTATAGAAGAAACCCACAAAACTTTCAAGATTTGAAGACTATTTGTGTGGAAGAATGGGCCAAAATCACACCTGAGCAATGCATGAGACTAATTTCTCCATACAGGGAGCGTCTTGAAGCTGTCATTGCCAACAAAGGTAAGTGTGTTCAATACTTTTTTTTTTTTTTTTTTTTACACGTAGCTTAATTTCTGGACATCTATGTTTTCATTTATTTGTATGTGTGGATTGCATGGATTGTTACCAACTTTTGGTAAAAAATAACGTATCAATTGCATCTCTAGAAATATATTCACGGAGAAAAATGTTGACGTTCAATACGTACGCAATACCTCAATATCCCTGAATGTCTAGAAAGAGAATATTATACATGCAAAAAAAAAAATAAATAATCCAACAATGAATGGCCCTTGCTAGTTGTCCTGGGGCCATAAGCAGTAATTTAGTTTGCTTAGGCATTGGGCCCGCCCTGTTAAATGTACAGTATAAACTTAGACAAGTTTTATTTACTTATTTATTTAGTATAATAAAAGCTTATTGTGTCAGTCTAAAGCAGTTATTTTTATGCACACCGCATATTTCACTGACTTTTTAAATCAGTAACATGACATCCTGTTTCTCTTGGGCAAAAATAAATGTGATGCGACACAAAGAGGGTTTCCACAGATTTTTCATGGAAAAATGGCAGACTTTTCCATACAACTTTCTTAAATTGAAAGATCACCATTATTTTTAGGTTAATTTCATTGTATGCAAGTAAACTTTACACATGGAAGAAAACAGAAAATAAGAACATGAGGAAGAAAGAAATAGATTCTGTTACTCTGAGAAGTTTCATAAAACAGCAAAAATGGTTGCAAAGATGATTTTATCAACTCAATCTCCACTTTTCAATCGATGTAGAAAAAAAAAAAAGACATGTTTCTACTTCCTTCAATGTGAGATTACAGTCCCGTTATAAAAGCTGAAATTATTTTTTTAGGGACAATGAATGTACAGGCAGCTGTCGCCTTTTCTCAAGAAATTATTTGAAATTCAGTGCTTTAAAATTATGTTAAAAAAAAAGTTTATACAAGACAATGTCACATGAAATATTAAAGGAAAACTCATGAATGTACATTGAATGCAAAAAGTAACCAAATCCTAATTTTCACAACAGTGGTTTCCAGCTAAACAAAAGTTAACTAGAAATGTTATTTTCAGTCAGCATCCATTCAGATGATGCAGCAGCAAAGTAAAGGCCTCTCCATAGCTTGGCAGAGGATTGCATTGGAGGCTCAGCATCAGCAGCATCAGTGGCTCCAGGGCCTCCAGCTGGACTTGGCTGCTACCTCCGCCTGCCTACCAGCACCTCTGCTGGGGGATGGGGGGGTGGTAGGCAGGCCAAAGAATTGCCCCGGGGCACCTTGATTATGCATCGGTACAGAAAACTGAATTTCCTTCTCCCTCCTTTCCTGTTGAGGGAATTTTATTCATCCTTAGCAAATCGATTTGACACGGAAAACAGGACTGAGTGGTGAGGACAAAATTCACCATGTTGATAATAAAAAAAAAAAAAAAACGAACAGCAAAGAATAAAAAGCGGCACAGTTAGTCTTATTTTGCTGTTTATCATAGTTTGCATTGACAGTGTACAGGAATCTACAGCTTTTAAAATCTGCACAGGTTATATTACATCTGCCGAGTTTGTACACAACAAGTTACATTTTCATGGACTTTGTCAGTGGCTTTTTCTCAATGTTACATCGCAGGATTATGACGAAACAAAACTGAACAAGTTTCAAGTATTTTCTTTGCAAAATGAGCTGAAATACTCAAAACAAATGACATGCAACAAAGGTGAACTGCAACATGGACAGATTAAAAAGACAAAGTAATACTGCGGACATATGCTCTTCCTGTTGATGTTATTCTGTGGGGCGTTTTGTTGACCTATGGTGACATATTTAAAAAAAGTATTGCTTTTTAGAGGATAACCATTATGAGTTATGCTTTTCTATGCTGTTTTCATAGTTTGAATCCAACCAAATGTGACATCTCCAACGCATAGAAGACTGAAAATGGCCCTGTAAGCACTGAACATAATAACTGCTAATGACACAAGTCAGAACAATTAAACCTGAGGTGAATTCAGGAGAGTCAAATAAAAGAAACATCAGCTGCTACAAGCTCTTATCATTTGTGACCTACAATAAAAGCCAGAATTATTAAAACAAACCTAAAAAAAAAAAAAAAATTCTTCATGTAAGGGAATGAGGCACCATTTACAAAATATACATCAACCACCTCCTCCACAGCGCTTGAGTCCTTCAAATGTGTGAGTGTGCGCCAACATGGTAGCTGCTGTAAGGACACTGCTGGCTAAACTGTGGTGGCGACACTGCAAAGAAAAATTAGCCGAGGAGATCCAGGTATGAGAGGGATTTGTTTAACAAGCAGGTGGCTAACAGTTCTATCTTCATCTTGCAGAGCTGTAGTGTTACTAAGAGGACAGAGGATCACAGCCCAGGGTGGTGTGAAGAGCGGAGGTAGCTAAAAGAGTCGTCAGGGGAAAAACAGCCAACCAGGGAGCTCCTGTGAGTTTTTTTTGGCTGCATGATTACACCTTAGCTGGTTTGATTTTTCACTAAAGCAATCAAACAACTCAGTGGGGTAAAATACAGGGGCATCTAAATGTATGAAATATCAAAACGTTGCATTATTTATGAAATATATCATAATATAAGGATTCAGTATACACAGAATGAAATGAAATCCAAGATAACAGATAATGAAAACCCCAAAATAACTTTTTCTGAAATTTTCAGTATCACAGACCGATAAAATTTCATTTTTAAATACCTGAATGTTGTCAGCTAATGACACTGCTCAAAAGAACGGCAAGCCATTACTAAAGAAACTGTCATTTTACACTGGTGCTTCAAATGATATTGATGGAAAGCTGAGTGGAAGAAAAAATTAGGACTGAAATTGGAAAACAAAGATGCAGATTTGAGTTAGTTCTGAAGTAAAACACAAACGCAGCTAAATTTGAAAACTCAAAAGTTGTTGTTTTTTTCTTACGGCACTAGTGGATTGTTTTTTCAACAGTAGGCTGACATGAAATGTGGGTATGAGAGAGGGGGAGAGACATGCGGCAAAGGACCACAGGCCAGATTCGAACCCGGGTCGGCCACGTTGAGAACTAAGGCCTCTGTACATGGGTCGTGCGCCCCAAAAAACACACAAAAGAAAAATCACATGAAAACGCGTTTGTGTACACAAAAAAACTCCACAGCCACAGGTAAAAACACACAGCTATAGAGAACAAAAATACCCCAAAAACACCGGCTCCTCCTCTGCCCCTATAGAGAGGGGCAAAAGCCACAGCCACACAACACGACACGCGTGAGACAAAAAAAAAAAGCCAAAATCGAGACGACACAAAAAAAACACCACAGAAAAATAAAAAACACTTTAAAAGAAAAAAACGGAGATTTTGCACAGGTTCCACATAGAGAAAATATATCTCTAAAAACACAGTGTGCAAAATAAGAGGCAAAAGAAAAACACAGACACACACACAACAAAAAACACAAAAACAACAAGAACAGCCACACAGCTAAAAATACACACACACACACACACACATCCTCCCCCGCATACCCGGGCGCGGCACAGGGGGAGAACAGCCACAAGAGAGACCCACACACCCCCCTCCCCACACACACCGGCCACAGCCCCCCCGGGAAAACCAAAACGCGCCCACACCACACAAGAAAAACAGACCCCCCACAGCGTCCCCGGGCTCCCCCCCGACACCCCCCCCCGGGAAGAGGCCCGGAAAAACCCAACAAGGAAAACGCCAAGAAGCAACCCAAACAAAAAACCGAACCAACCCAAACGGCCCCCCCCCCCGGGGAAGAACAACAACCCCAACCCGAAGCCCCCCCCCCATTGGTTGAGCTCCTCACCCTATCTCTAAGGGAGAGCCCGGCCACACTACGAAGAAAACTAATTTCAGTCGCTTGTATCCGGGATCTCATTCTTTCGGTCATGACCCAAAGCTCATGACCATAGATGAGCATAGGAACGTAGATCGACCGGTAAATCGAGAGCTTTGCTTTTTGGCTCAGCTCTCTCTTTACCACTACAAACTGGTATAGGGCACGCTTCACAGCAGACGCCGCACCAATCCGCCTGTCGATCTCCCGCTCCATCTTCCCCTCATTCGTGAAAAAGACCCCAAGATACTTAAACTCCTCCACTAGAGGCAGTACATCCTCCCCCAGTTCTAATTATGGAACCGATAATTCGCCAACACCAATGACAGCGCTGATAGATGGTACATTCCTATAGAAAAGCCTGGACTGAGGCTGGACTTATACTTTTTAGAGCCAGTGATGTTTGGCCTCTGTCCTTTAGAAAGTCCAGTCAGCTCACACGTCTACCAGGACATTTTAGAGAGCTTCCTGTTGCCTACTGCTAACAAGTTGCTAACAAGCCGGAGACATTTTCCAGCAGGACTGGGCACCTGATCACCCTAATGAAATGAACAGTACCTGGTTTTATCTCAACAGATGCTATCAAGCCAACCAGGCTTACCTGAAATACAGCAGCACTGAGGCTGTAGTTTCACACCGGGGTACCCCACCCTGAGCTCATAAACTGTGCAGATTTGATACTTCGCCACAGGTTTACATTTCTGTCTTAAAAGCGTTTTGTTATTCTAATTTTCCCAAGAATGGATTTTAGGGTTTTCATTGTCTATAAACTGTCATGGGAACTAACAGAAATACTTCAGTGTGGAGTGAATCTGTATATAATCTCCCATTGAGTTGAATTAATTCAACAAATCTACATTTTGATATCATTGAAATGCATTTAGATGCCCCTGAAACAATCAGTCATAAAGGTGTGTATTAAAAAAAAAAAAAAAAACTGTTCAGTCTGATGAGCAAGGGCCAGTGGCTGAATACAGAACAGTTTTTGCTGGTGTCTAACAGCATTTTCCAGAGCTCTAATATCATTTCAAATAAAGTATGAATAAACAAATCTCAAAAGAGCAGACACATCATTGGTGGATGTAGGCTTAAAGGCGATAATGGCACGTAACATGCTGAAAAGACAAATTAACAAAGCAAAAAACGGTGAAACTTTCAAATATGAAAGTATCTAAAGAATCAATATCCGATTAGATGCAAATAAAGAAATAAAGTCATGCACAAAAAGAGAAGACAGTTAAAAGAACCTCCCATTAATCCTGTTGCTCAATATTATTTGACTAATTTCCAGAAAGCTATTTGGTTCTGTAGTATATGGAGTCTTTTGGCTATGTCCTCTAAATACGTCTGCAGTTAGTCTATAGTGGTGAACATACAGCCTTGCTGAGGGATTTGTAGCCTAATTTATGCTCATGTTAAAATTATTGCATGTTCTGCTTGGCAGTCCAGTATGTGCGCTGTTTAGAGTAGAGCCTAAAACTAGTGATGCAGGGTGAAGTCCAACATTATACTGAGGGTATCTGCTAACAGGGGGAGCAGAGGAAGACGCACAGGAAGCTGTCACCAGTAGAATGAGCGTGTCAGGAAGTTAGCAGCCGTGCTGAGCCAGCCCAGGCCGTCTGTGACCGATCCTACGCGAGTGACGGCCTTGTCCTGCTCCAGTGATGGACTCTCATCCTCAGGTAGGTAGTCTGGGATGTCTGTGTTCTCCTCTACCAGCACTGATGAGTCCTCCTGGAATGGTACCACCAGCTACAGTAAAGATAGGGAGAAAAAGAAAGACAATACAGAGCAGACTTGTTTAAAGTGATAAATTCACAAAAAGCTAAAATATTTTAATTTAAAACAAACTGCTTTTAAATTAACAGTAAAACCAAAAAATATTATAAAACTATGGCTGCAAGAAATGACTGGGGTATGACTGACCCCTGCTGGCCACATGAGGTATTTGTTTTTACAAATCTTTGTAGTTTGTTTCCACTGCTAGAACCCGGATGGGGTCTTTTACCAATTTTATTCTTGCTGCAGAAACCAGGGCTGAATCAGATTATTAGTAAGGTTAAATAATATGTCACAACCATATTATCTTTTTAATATGATTGCACATAATAATTATCACAAATTTTGGACTGGCGTGGGCCTTCTCTTTGAAAACAAATGTGCTTTTCGGTCTTTAGGATGAACTGCAGTTGATGTCCATAGCAGACACTGACTGTATATACGGTCTAAAATGCTAAACAGGCTTGGAGGCAAATGTCGGAGAAAAAGTAGTTGGGAAAACAATTTTTTAAATTGCTATTTTCATTAATTTATTTAGCCATATTTTTACCATCTCATGATTTTTGAAAAATGTGAGGTAGATCAGAGTAGAAATGTTCCACAGAAAATAGCCCTGAAATCAAAGGGAATACTTTTTAGATGGAACATAAATCAAAGATGTGTCTCCATCAATCTAGCTAAAATATTTCATGTCTTTACCTGTAATTAAACCTTTTCCAAACGGTTCCAGCTTAAGAGTGAAGTAATTGACAGGAGTAGATGAGAATTCCCAACATTCCTGTTCAGCTAAAGTTAAATCTTTTCTATTGTTTAGATTTTTGCTAACTAAAAACAGGATTTTTTTTTTCCAAAAACCTGTTCCAACTCCTTATGTGGAGTATTACATTATATACGGTTTATAATTCACCAACATTGGTGAAAAGATCCACCAAATGAATAATGGCATTTATGTATAAAAAAAACACAAATGATACCAGAAATGCATTTTATGTTACTTTTCAGAAGGTTTTAACGGAGCAATAGCTGCGAGTGACGCCTAGCGATCCAAATTGGAACTACACACCTAGGCCCCCCTGTGCTGTTTTAAGACACCCTAGGAACTCTGTTATGATATCAAGAACCAGAAAATGGGGGCTACACACTATACCTAGGTAGGTTTGAAAGGAGAAAAACTATGACGTTAAATGAGAGGACCAGGTGTTCACAGTGATTGGTATTACAATCAATTTAGAATTATTTTGATTTATATTTCAGTAAATGTTTTATGGCTCATTTAAATGTGTTAGCTACAAGTTTAACATCTACTAATGCTAGCCTTAGTAAATATCTAACTTAACTGCCAGCAAAGCATCAAAAAGTTAAAAGCTTGACCAATGTTCAGCCTCTTTTTGCTTCTTTTTTTTATTTTTTCTGGACTTGAACCTGAACAATGTAAGACCAAGAAGAAGCCATATCTCAGCTCTATTACCGAACTATCTGGATATGCCTGAACTCTGAATCACTACTTTCAGCCGACTATTCAGGCTGGTCCAAACTTATAAAACAATTATTTAGACATTATATGTTTGTTTTGGGGCTGCTTAGTGGAACAGTGGGTAGCACTGCTGCCTTCCAGCAAGAAGGTTCCTGGTTCAATTCCCAGCCCGGGCTCTTTCTGCATGGAGTTTGTGTGTTCTTCCTGTGCATGCGTGGGTTCTCTCTGGGTACTCCGGCTTCCTCTCACAATCCAAAAACATGACTGTTTGGTTAATTGGCTTCTCTAAATTCTCCTTAGGTGTGAGTGCGTGCGTGAATGGTTGTTTGTCTCTGTGTTGCCCTGCGATGGACTGGCGCCCAGTCCAGGGTATACTCTGCCTCTCGCCCGTTGACAGCTAGAGATAGGCACCAGCACCCCCCGCTACTCCACCTGGGATAAAGCGTGATGGAAAATGGATGGATGTTTGTTTTGTTTTTTAGTAAAATTTATCTTTTTCTTCTGCAACAACTTACATATTCTGTGGATGTTTTTTTTTATTTTTTATTATTGTTTTGATGAAAAACCTGTAGCTATTACCTTTATAGTAAGTAAAAGCATCATCAATGAGAACGAAGCCCAAGTTATTAACAGGTTTCATTCCATCCAGAGTTCTGCTCTGAGAACAGCGTGGGGTTATGTTTGCTGAAAGCACTGGAGTTTAGGGTGGCTTTTTTAAGGTTAGAAATGTGATATCTAATAATATATATATTTATTGACCATAGAAATCCTGCCTTCTCTTACTCACACACGTTTGCGATGGTCGATTAGCCCACTTAATTTGTGTTTAATAAACATTGTTTTATGTTTAGTTTAAACTAATGAGCTTTCAGCTCATTATTTAACTGCTATAAAACAGTCTGATTTCATAGTTTTTCACTGAAATGAAGCAGCATTTCAGCTGTAGAAATTAGACTTTTAGCATCAGCAGTTATCCTTTAATAAGCACAATTTTGTATTAAAACTACAGATAACTGATGCATCATACCATAAAACCTGCATAATGAATTAGAAATGTTAAATTAGGAAGTAATCCAATTCCTGCAAAATGCAATGAGTCTGAGGTAAATATGGGGTTAATCGTGTTGAACTGAATAAAGTCAACTTATAAACCTGCCCACATCTATCACACTGACCTATCACCTGATTCCCTCTGTGGGGGGGTGATTTTATGTAAAGCATTTTAAATAAACAGTGCAACACTCAGGGGTCCTTACCTCTCCTCCGTCCTCTGTTTTCACCACCTGCTGAGCCTTCATTACTTTGGTGGAGTTAATTGCTGTCCCCAATGCCTGAGAGAAGACCGCTCTATTCATAAATCTGTTCACATTTTCCCCATAAATCGAGGATAAGTTGGAGTTGTTACCCATATTAAAAGGACTACCTCAGCCTTAAGGTCGGAACGGATGCGGACGACGCATCGTTTAACAGCCATCTGGAAGGTAAAACTTATGACCCCTCGAATCTTCAACAAAGCCTCCTCGCACAGGCTCCTTCGAGTCTAAAAGGAAACGATAGGAAACAGGTGAGAGAGATGTGCATAGAAGCGCTCTCATCCTAATGGATAACCAAACTACAAACTCCTTTGCATCATCTGTTAAATATATACACAGCTTTCAAATCAACATTGTGCATGTTGATTTTTGAGCTTCCACAGGGTTGTGTTTCAGTGCAGCCCCCACCTCCAGAGGCCGTCTGTCTGCTGTAATGTAATCTATCTAGATGAAGCCTTCCTGCTGAGCAACACTCAGGTTCGATCTCAGCATCCTGCTGTTCAAAAGCTGACATTTACAACCTACGCCCTGAACCTTCTTCTTAGATACCCCACAGACAAACAAAGATGCTAGAGCAGATCTGTGATGATTACAGCAGCTCAAGTGTGGAGCTGAAAAAATAGACGTTTAAATGTGATCAATTTTGGTGGTTAAAACTCTGAAACCTTCTGCACACACTTACAGAGTCATCCAGTCCGTCAATGTGCAAAACTACAGTTTTGGCCCTCTTGTTGTTGGAGCCCAGGAAGAAGTGGGCTTTTTTTCTGCAGGAGGCAGCAGCTGCTTCGGCCTGCTCTGCCTCTTCTTTACCAGCTGACTGCAGGATCTCGTATATCTCAGACGCCAGCAGTTTGGTCTCCCCGGGGGATGTACTCCTTTAAAGTGACCGAGAACAAAAGAAAAAGAGGAATGAAAAAGTTGAAAATGAAGGGAAATTATCAGTTCCAAACTGAGTGGTAAGATTAGCTGCTCCTTTTATGTAAAGTGCAGATGCATAAAAACTCAGCTACTTAGACATGCCTTCTGTCTATGAGCTAGCTAGCCTGGATAGTGTTTTAACAGTATTTGGTTTGATGTATATTCTTTTTGTTTTGTCATTATTTGCAATATTTTATCATTTTATTTACTAGATTGAGACATTATGAGGGACAAGTCATTACTGGCTGTTACACACATTACATGCCCCGTTACTGTCTTAGCTGATTTTGGGTTATTATGCACAGACACACATCTGGTTAAGCTTTTTTCACCACGATGTGACAATCTTCCCATTCTTTTCCATTTCTAAGCTACTTTCATTCATATTATCAGTTGTTTAAACCGATTTTATGAAGCCTCTAAAAACTAGACTTTAATATCAAAAAAGATGAATGGCCATTGTCATTGTTTTATTTTTAGTAGTACATTAAAATACAATAAATCCCTTTGAATTTATACCAGCATCAGTTAAAATGTGAGAACCTTATTTGTCCATGCATGCATAAAGTGTTTTCCTTTCTGCCACCCTGCAGTAATTCAGCTTTAATAACACTCAAACAAAGATGACAAGAGAAAACCAACATCCTGTCATGAAATGTTGCAGAATGGCAAACACTGTCCAATAAAAAAATAAATAAATCCCAGGTTAAATGTTTGTGAAAAGAAAGTGCACGTTAAGCATGCGTTTCTGACAGGTCAGAGACAGAGACTCACTTCTGCATGACATTCTGCAAACTCAGCATCATGCCCAACTCGCCCTTCAGTTTCTCTCTGTTGGCTCGACATTCTGCCAGGTAGCGCACAGCCTGCAAGGGAAAGGGCAGCTTTTATCTGTCTCTTATGAGGAGCTTTGTTATAAAGGAACCTTTTAAAATGATTGCCCATGGGCAGCAGCACATATGTTATATAAGCTCAGACTTTGCAGCTTTTTCACCAGCATTGACAGTTCATGTCCTGAACTAAATGGTTTTAGTGAATTAAAACGCTGAGGAAAAAGCTTGTGTTGTATTTGCAACACAACAGACGGTTGCAGAAATTGCTGTTCTCATGCTATGATGTTTTCATGCTAGAAATCACCTTAAAGCTGCAACTAAAATCTGCTTTTATTTTTGGTAGAGGTGGGATGAAAAACACAAATTTAAATGTATTCAGCTAAGAAAAATTTAATGTAACACAGTTTATGTTAATTTTGCATTGACACAAAGCAATCCCCCCTTCTGTTTGACATGACGGTAAAAACCGATCAATTTGTTCGTGTATGCGGCAGGTAATACTTACCAACAGGGCTGAGTAGACAACCTGCGGGTTTGGATGGTCGAAAAAAAGGATGAGACCTGGAAGGCAACCTTGATCTTCCACTATGGCTCTGCGATTCAGAGGGTCGGCAGCGAGATCTCTCAGCTGGTTGACCACGGTCAGTGCATCCAGCTCTGCACTCATGGTGCCTCTGGCTTTGGTGGCACGTGCATCAAACCAACCTCTTCTTTTTACTGGAGAAAACAATAATAAGGAAATGAATTATCTTACTAGCTGAAACATAAGCTGTGGGCAGGACAGTAATTTTTATTTATCTGGTTAATGACAACAAAGCTAAAATCTTATAAACGGTTAGTTGGTTTGATCAAAGCTAAAAAGGCCCATTAAAAGACCCCTGTGGACTTTGATTTATTTATTTCCCTATCGTTAAATATTACAACCAAAATTGTGACCAGGTACATCTCATTTCAAGGAACAATCATTTACACATTTCAACAACTTGGGTGGATTAAAACTGAGGTAAATTTAGCTAATTGACGAAACTTGGAATGCCACAAAAAGTTCCAGATTAACAGTGGATGTCAGGCAAAAAAAACACCAAAAAAAACACACTGAAATCAAAGGAATTATCTGAGCCCAAAACCTTTGAAGGATAAAAAGAAAAAAAAACAAATGAGTTTTAGCAAAACTGAACATCCCAAAACCATGTGGTCTTTATTCATTGCAAATGAAAGGAGTTTGGAACGATCATAATCCTTCTAACATCTTGCAGCCTGTTTGAGAAGACAGGGAAGAAGAGGCTACTTTCAGAAAAGTAACCAAGAACAAAATGTCACAAAGACCAGAGGTTCCAAAACTTTAAAAATGTTCAGCTTCTGAGAAACAAAATAGTACCAGCAGAACTCATGAACCCAAACTACTGTTTGGATTACAATAAATTATAAAATATCTGTTAACCATCAGTAAACAAATATATTTGCTTTGGGGTTTTTTTTATGTATCCATATTCCTAAACCCCTAAATGTGCATCATTATATTTTTTTTTTCTCTGCAGACAATCACAACACCCCATACTTGTTGATCCATGACCCCTAGATTGAAAACAAATGACTAAAACCAAGCTCCGCTGTTAATCTGTGCAGATAGGAGAACAATCCACCAATCAAACCTTTGAGATAGTGTGGACAGATAAAAATGGCAGCCTGCCAGAATTTTAAAGAAAAAAGGCTCAGAGATTGCTAAACCTAGAAAAAATAAGTCCTAAGCTCTGATGAAACCCGGCAGGAACTTTTTTAGCCTGAACTCCAAGCATGTTATCAGAAGTTAAAGCTAGTTTGAAGCAAGGTGGTGGCAGTATCAAAATGTGGGGTGTTTTTTGTTTTTTTGCTGAGGAACTGGATGATTATTTTGGGTAGCAGGCAAGATGACAGAAGCAGTACAATACAATGTAGCTGAAACCCTCTGCAGAGTTCTCTGGGACTCGAACCGAAGTGGAAATGTATCTTCCCATATGAAATGTATTGGAGCATACAGGTTGATTAAAAATTAGAGGCTTCTGGAGCAATACCTTAGTCTTTAATCACATACAATATCTCTAGAAAGAGCTAAAGATGGCTTTCCACTAACACTGCCAATTAAGTTTTAAATGTAAATCCTTTTACTGTCCCACAATGGCGCCCAGGGAGCAATCAGGGGTTATGGGTCTTGCTCACGGAGCCAGAGCGGAGGCTGTGGGGAACAAACCGGGTACTTGCAATCTTGTCAGAGGACAAACACACTGCTCTAATCCACTAGGCCAACACTCCCCAAGTTTGACTGAGCTAATGGGAATCTGTAGAGAAAAGTGACAGAAAGCACCCCCAAAAAAAGTGTACCAAGCTGTACAGATATGTCAGATAATCTGTGGTTTTTAATTACTATTATAACAACAGGGATTTCATAATATGGTTATATTTAATAAACTTAAAGTGTTTATTTTTTTAGTATAAACTAATGCGTTATCAACAAGAAAAATGTAATCTCAAATTCCTTACAGAATTAGACTGTTTAAAAAATATTAATAATTTTAACTGGGATTATTTGAATTACAATACATACAGATACCCATGCAAATGTATTACATATTCAGGATTATATAATAGGACATAGATTAAGCCATTCAAAGTCCTATATAATAATACATGACGAATTGAGAATCCATTTTTATACTGTATCTAATCTAAAATTAACATGTCTATCCTTAGTTAACATTAACCACGTGGAAGATAATTTTTATGATGATAAAAAAAGCTTTTGATTTTAAAATATGGCATTATAAATGCTGATAAGCTTTATACAATGCCAAATCAATTAAATTTTATTACACCAGTAGGGCTGATTGGTTATAGATTACATTTATCGACACACACTGATAAAACCGCAGCTCTCAAATGAAACAAAATAAATTTTGATGTTAAACTGCTAGTAATGTCAACTTAACAGCTCGATTTGTCCCCAGGCTCACCTTAAATCACGCCCTGTGGTACACAACCAATAGCGGCCAGGCTAAGCTAACAACCCGCACTCGAAAGCTAGGTTTATGTCAGTTAAGTCATGAAATTCCCTAATAAACCTGGATTGGTTGTGTCAATACGTGTAGAAAAGCGACACCAAAACCAACTGTTACGTAATGAAACAACCTAAAATAAAGCGTAACGAAAACAATTTCACCACCGCTTGGCCTGTGTCCCCTTTCTTTCCCTGCGCTTCTTTAGCTAGCAGCTGTGCTCAGTGTTTGGGTTCAGAGGCACACCGCCAGGGTGCAGCTGTTTTGTTATCAAGGACAATCCAGTGTCCCTCAACAAGATGTCAGTACGGCTGTATATGGCACCTCTCTGCCGGGATGCGCGAAAACATAAAACAAACGTCTACAGATTTCATGAAATCTGATTGGACGATGAGATGCGTCTGTAGAACAGTAGACGCCGTTCGACCCTTTCCGTGCGACTGATAGCAGAGCTTTTGCCATATTGTGAGTGGCATATTTGGGTCAAAAATTATTTGCTGCTGGGTTTACTATAACCTTACTTTGATAAATATTTTTTATAAAATCATATTTGTTGATGTCATTGCTAATGCATTATCTGCAGATCACATTGAACAAATTTACAATTCTATTTAGACTTTGATGATTTAGACTTCTTTTATTTTAAAGTTTTCAGTAATGATAATTTATACATCAATCATCCATATCCACGCATCCGTAATCTGCTTGTAGTGAATCTTGAATATGAAATATATGTTTTCTGTTCAATCATCTGAGAGTGTGTAAAAGCTGTATATTGACAAATCTATTGAATCCCAACAGTCTCCAATACAAATGCATGTCACTCCTATGAGGTCAGTGAAGAGTGGAGATTTATGAGGTTTGGGGAAATTGCTGCTAAAAAGACTGACAATGTGATGAATGCATAAAAAAATAACAATAAATAAATAAACAATAATAATAATAAGTATTATTATTATTATTATTATTATTATTATATTTTGGTCTTTCGTCAATAACTCTTACCAGCAAATAAAACGTGAGAACATATAATACAACAATCTGAAACAGCTTAATCCAAATCATTGAATGCCACTCAGAATATGGCAGCGACGTTGACGTGATATCCGGATGCTCATACAGCCCCGGCTTTTCCATCGCTCAGATAGCAAAATGTGCTCGAAAGGGAAATGTTGATTGGTCAAACATTACGTCAATCATTTTTATTTGCCAATCCCTGCTCTGTAAATTCCATAATCTGATTGGTTAAGATGATGTTCCCAAACCTCTCCCCACATCTGCGTTCTACACGCTATCGCTGTGCTTGGATACTGAATAAACTACTGAAAGTTGTCAGATAGCGGTTTTTTCGAGTAAGTTTAATTTTTATTGAGCTAAAATTCAACAAAAAATATAACTAGAAAAACTCAGGTGTTTATAGCTAGTAGCGATTTGATACACTACTTTACGTGTGTGGGAGTTATATCCAGAGAGGTGGAATGTTGGGAAAGTTGGCAAACCTTAGCTGCTAACGTTAGCATCAGTTAGCATTGTGACCCGCTGCTCCGAAGGTCTGGAAAGTCAAGTTGAATAATTGATAATCTCGTTTGAATTTTGGCACAAGTTGTCATCCATATTATTTATTTTCTTTCTTAAATCGGCCACTTTCACATGTCTATTTAAAAACCCTTCGGTTTAAGGTTTTATTTTGTTATGGCTTCTTGTTTATTTCCACGGGTGAAGACAAGGTTACAGGGAAAACTTTCTGGGAATCGGGAAAACTGACGCAAACATGACCATCAAAAGTTAGGATATGGCTATAGACTGCATTTTATAGCTTTGTTAGTTAGGATGATTAAAAGAAAAAAACTTGAAATAAACAGTTAGTTAAATTTGTTATAATGGGTCAAACTTTTACCCTATCAAAGTGAAATGTTGGCAAGTATGGTAGCAAAGATTGCCTTAGATCATGTGTTAAAAATTGTTTCATGTAATTTCTTTTTCAGATTCTTGGATCATGTTGATCTTGAGGAATGATCCAGTTTGAAACCTGCAAGCAGAAATGAATAGAGGACATGCAAGGACTGACATGGACTTGGTGAGTGACAGTCTTATTTTTTGCATTTGTTTTATTTATTGTACTAGAGCTGCACGTTATGTTAATTTACAATATCCACATGCATTGCACCTGTTCACATCTTATCTGTACGAAACAGTCAAAAAGGTTATCAGCTGTTACACAGTATTATAGAAAAATCTGCTCATTACTTCTCTTATTTTTCCTTGTTTATGGTTATTTGGTTACATCTAAATAAACCCGGAAGGTATGCTGGATAAAGCGGTGCTTCTTAAAGAATTAAAAGTCCAAATTACTCAGGAATCTCTCTTAAAATCTATATATCCCAAACTCATTTTTAAAGTTATTATTATAAGCAGTGCTTTATTCACATCTAGTTAAAAATATGTGTTTATTTTAATGGACGTGACATTTCCTTTGATACCAGATCTGTGGGGTTTATTTTATTTTTTATTAGGATTCTTGTATTTCCTGTTAAGTAAACTGGAGTCCCTATAATAAGCACTTTAATGTGCACCATTGTCTCCTTGCAGGCTTTTGGCTCTGCAAAGCCGTATGGTTCTTCAAGAAGTTTGGTAAGAAGAATCGCTTCGAATCTTCCCATCAAACCATGTCCAAGGGTTCATTTTCAGGTAAGGGGAAAGTTTCCATGACCTTGATTTTATTTAAAAAGGATTTTTCTTTCTAACATTTTTATTCCAAATTTATCATTTCTCTTGTAGTGTCTCTCCTTTCTTCACCTCTGTTTTTCCATGCTTTTCTCCAAACTGTGTCATGTACCAACATATCTCACACCCTCATCATTGTTTATTTTCTCCTTTGGCTGTTTTCACTTATGAACCATAAACACACAGAGTCACACAAACTCCTCGTCACATTTAGGACTTTGCAGTGAGAATGCTGCCTGGTTAAGTTAACAACTGATCCACCACCTGTTGATTATTTGATTTACACCTGACTTTTATTTTTTATCAAACTGCTTTTTTACCTTCTCTTTTTTTCAAAACTTCCTCTTCCTTCTCCAGCTGCCCTCCCTCGCTGTGAGGAATGCAGTCTGTCTGCTTTAGGTCAGTCTTGTTCATCAAACCAAAACAATCTTTGTTCTTTTTCTGATCATATTATGATTTTTCATGTGATATACCTTTTTAAAACAAGAAATTGATTAAAAGCATGGGTGAACTAATGATCCCTTTCTCTAGATTACTGAATATGATTAAAATCTTTAGAGACAAAATCCATACGGAATGGTCCCTTATAGTGACATGACTTCATCTTGGACTCAATTTTATTTCCATGTTCTTCGTATTATTTTGATCATGTTGTGTATCAAACTTTATTAAACCGAATTTCATATAAATGAACATTTTTTTTTTTTTTTTTATGAACTTGTCTCTAAATGGAAGCTGTCTTTAGGAATAACAGGATAAAGAAATCAGAACACAAATTTGACATTTTAAAGATTTATTTTCATATAAAAAAACATAAAATTTTTCTTTATGAATTTCCTGCTCTGTGCTTGGCCTGTCATGATTGTAATAAGACGGTTACAAGCTGGTGTCCAAGGAGTCTGAATTTCTTTCCAGTGCTTTAAAAAAAAGAAAAGATTAGTGGTGATTGACACGTGTTTTTCTCACATCCTGTATGCATAAAAAAAAAATAATAATTATAATAGATGCAGACAAATTGAACCTTTATAACAGCTTAGTTACTCTATTGTATATTAGACTTCCAGTCTTTAGCTTTGGACTAGTCAAGAAAAATAACTAATAGCATCATATTTACTTGGGGTTAATAATATTTTATTAATTCAAAAGGAAAATGCACATATATCATGTTAAGAATATTTACTTTTAAATTCATTATTGATGGATGTGCTTTGTTGAAAGAACAATTTGGAAAAGATGAACATCTATTTTACTCTTAATTGATGAAAACTAAACTTTCATGGCTACAGAAATGTCATCCAGGACTTTTTTATTTATTTTTAATCACCTCTTGGGGCTTAATAATGCAAATTACACAGAGATCCTACAAAACTGCCTTATAATGCCTACTAAACTGATATCTGAAGATATTTAAAGGAAATAGACAAAGCATTTTTATGACAATACTTTTAAACATTTACATCCTATTTGGATGGTTGGAAACAGGAATAACGAGAGAAACATTGACATAAGGTCTATGTTGTTTTTTTTGTTTGTTTGTTTTTAAACATGCTTTTGCAGCAGATCAAAGATGCAGCTCTCATCATGAGTTTTAAGGCATTTATACATATTGGCTGTGCTCTGATCTTTGCAATATATAATTCTGTAGCAAGTGTTGCACTATGTCCACTGGTCATTTCTTTAATGTCTAGCAACTCTTTATAATGCTGCAACACAATCGGATTGTTGCATTGCACATCACTGTACATTCTTCTTTGTCAATATTCAGTCGCAGCTTCTAATTGAAATTAGCTAAAGCATTTGGTGATCAATATCGTTAATTGCTCTACAAATAAAGGTGTTCTTGTTTCTTGGCACTGTCATAAAGTTCTTTTATTATTTTTTGTTTTTAATTTAGATTTTTTTTTTGACATTTGGTTTTATTGAGCTATAGCAGTATTTAGAGTTGAATAGATTTCTGAAACCTTAGTCGTGGTTTCATTCTCTTTTAACCTCATCATGGTTTTATTTTTTATTTTTCCAAAATGTCTAACATCTTTTCCCTCCATCCCTTCAGCTTCACCCATATGCTGAGGAGCCTGGAGCTCTTGGTGTCAGGAGGCAGACCAACATGGTCGCCTCTCTAGCTGATATCTCACTGATGGACGAGGATGATGAGGATGATGAAGGCTACTTGGGCAGATCCAGGTAAAAAGCATCAAACCCGAAGCTCTAAGAGCCAATGTGCTTCTGTGAAACATGGTACATCATAAAGTGCAGGAGAAAATATTCACATCCTTTATATCTTTCTCACATTTTTTGTGCTCACTTTTCTGAGAGTTCAGTGTTTGATTGGGACTACAGGTCATAAACCATCCCATAGTAGTGCTTCTTAAAAGAAGAGTCTTTAGTTTTTTTCTAAATGAGGTTTAACAAAAGCAACATGCATTTATTTTTAGACTTCTATGCACTGATACCTCTAAATGTAATATAAGACCATCTATTGCCTTTAAAAATCTCCCTTTTAGGAAATAGTCCACCTGTTGCAATTTGAGCTCAGTATTAAAGAGGAAGTTCTGGAGGAGCTGCAGAGATTCTCAGCTCAGGTGGAAGAATCTGTGATAGGACAAACAGAAATAGTCACTTCCCCTTCACTGCTATGCTTTGCCCCGTTGTATTTAGGTCTAATAAATATATCTAAGCTTCGTGTTTAAAACATGAAAAAATGAGGGAATATTGAGGTGAAATAAATATTTTTTTTAAATCCCTGTATAAAAATGTTGGAGCCCTTCTGACTTGTGGCATGATTAAAGCAGGCGGGGGATCCCATCGGGCTTCATGTTTCGAGCCCAGCAGCCTCAACCTTGGAGAAGACCCCTCTCCCGTCGCAGGTCCCTGCCTGGTCTCTATGAGGGCCCTCCTGATCCACAAGGTCCAACGTTTGCAAACGACGAGGCGATCCAGAAGATCAACGCTCTAGAAACGGAACTTGCCAAACTCAGAGCTCAGATAGCTCAAATTGTCATGGCTCAGGAAAAGACTGCGCTGTCAGGTATAAAGTTTACTGTTTTCTCATTGCATGAATCAATGATTAAGGGGAGTGGCGGCCTAGTGGTTAGTGCATAGAGCTTGGAATCCAGAAGTTCTGGATTTGAGCCCCACTCCCACAGACTGCCACCCTGGGTCTCTGAGCAAAGACCCTTAACCCCACACTTCTCCCTGGGCGCCCCTCCATGGCAGCTCACTGCTCCTCAATGGGATGGGTTAAATGCAGAGGTAAATTTCTCCAATGTAAAACCAATAAAGTTCAATTATTATTTATTAACGTTCTTCTGTAATCTTTCCACTAGATGGCAGCAGATCCACATCTGAGTTATATATTTTATGCTTTGCTCCATGTTTTACTCCAGCTGCTGCTAGTGGGGCTCCTACACCTTCTGGAAACCTCCCTCCGCCTCCCCCTCCTCCCGCCCCACCACCTCCTCCACCTGCACCAGCACTGCAGCGAACATTTTCAGCCATAGAGCTGATAAAAGAGAGGAGAGGGAGGAAGAAAGATGAGCAGATGGTCGAGGTTTCACGGCCTGCAGAAATCCCCAGCATGCTGGACATCCTAAAGGACATAGACAAGGTTAAGCTGCGGTCTGTAAAAAGGTTTGTCTCACACTTTCGACAGGATTATTATTATTTTTATATATATAAACTTTAATTGTGACCCAAATTAAAATGTTCTCTTTTTGTTTTTAAAGCCGTTTAGAGCAAGCTGTTGGCAAAATGAAGCCCAAAGAGCCGTCCGACCCAGCAGGTCTCATCGCTGAAGCTCTTAAGCGGAAGTTCGCCCATCGGTTTAGAAAAAACAGCGGACAGGAAGGAAGCGACAAAGAAGATTTGAAGGTGGCCGTCCCAGAAGCCAAACCTCAAACTGAAACCCCTCTGGTGAGACGCAGGTCTTCAGCCTTCTGGTTCTCAACTGGAAGGTGAATATTTAGCATATTTCTGAAATAGCAGACTCTTGATCTGCTTTGTTGTGGTTTCCTCAGTTTGGGCAGCACATGCTGAAACCAACCGGGAAGAAACGGTTCCTTTGACCAGGAGAGGATGAGCTGGTGATCCAGGATATCCACTGACTCTTTGAAGAATCCTTTTTGGTGATCCTCTACGACCTAACCAGCCTGGACCAAATATGAATCATCTCGTTTTGCACTTTTTTATAACTTTTATCCGCTTTATTTTTTACAAACATGATTTTTATTTGAACACAAACACTAATTATTTGTGTTCACTTTTTGCACATTTCTCCACTGTGAGATCAATAAAGTCTATCTTTATCTGAATGGGCGATCAGATCTGTTTTGGAGGACCAGAACATTGCACATAGAGGGGATAATCAGACGTAAAGATTTGGTAAAGTATTGTAGATGAAGGATCTGTACTCTGCAATACTTAGTTATTTATTTTGTCAGTTTAGCTCAATGCTGTAATTTTGTTTGTAGCATTTAGAGGTACTTTATAAATTTTAAGATGTTTTAGTATTTTTACCAGTTCAAGTCATCCGTTTTAGTTATTTATTTGCCCTTTTAAAAGCTAAAGACATTCCACTGATGTCATTGTTCATTTTATTAAAGTACTTGTGTTGTAAAGGAAAGCCACATTGGATTATATTTTCATATTTGATGCCGTAGTTACATGTGCAGAGTTTAGTCTGTACCTACCTCTGTGTTTTGAGAATTGAAAGCAAAGGGGATTCTAGTCAAGCTTTAAGAAACCCGTCAGTTATGTGGTTTAAAAAGACATTTTTAGGCATTTTGTTTATTTTCTGTACCATTTCTAAGCGTGGTTTCACTGCATAGCTGCTTATTGAAGTCCTTTTTTTTTCAAGGGAAGAAAAGATGGTCAGTAAAATGTGATTTTTATCTCCTAAATTGTATTTCATCTTAATAAAAGTATCCCCTTACTCCGTCCTTTTTTGTGCTGAATCAAGTCTTTTTCTAAATGCATAAACCAAGGAAAAATTGTATTGAACAGTTTCCAATTCAAAACAGTCATGTTTATCTCATGTGTAAGTTTACAAGTTCTATTTTCACCTTTTGTTACGCTAAAGCCACATACTTTCCTGTATTTAAATGAGATTGAATGAAATCAGAAGTGCCTGTAATTTGTTTGCACCCCTTTATTGTAGGACCAGAAAAATAACTAAACATTTAATAATTTTTAATAGGGCTTATCTTGAGTTGTTTTGAAGAGTAAGTTTTGACTTATTTAGCATGTGACTAGGAAAGTTAAAAAGTAAAAAAAAAAAAAGAAAAAGGGCTTCATTTTATTGCATTAAAGTCAGTTTGGTTTTACATATTTAGGGTTTAAAAAAAGCATTCAGAAACACAATCTAACCCTGCAGCAGGACATCCTAGCTCACCATAGTATCTCTGTACAGTCATGATGCAATGATTGTACATTTCCACATATTTTAAAGACTAAAAGGTAAAGATTAATTTAATTAAATGCAATTCCAAATAATGTGGGGTCTTAATGTTGAATTGTGGACTTTAATAAGAGCCCAATTTCTGGATGACCAATTGCTATCTTGTTGACACATTATTCCACTGGAGCTGTAGATCTCTGCAGCACCTCCAGAGTGAAGCTAAGATGTACTGCAAATTCTTCATGTGTTTGCAGCAGCAATTTCAGCCATCACTACAGTAGCATAAGCTGGCTCAGGAGATAGAGATTTATGTTCAAGTTGCAGCTCCGTACATCTCCATATCATAGGGCAAGACTTGCACTTGTCTGATGTTATTAATCAGATACTATATTGAAGTTTACCACCAACATCCATCAATGTGTGCTGTGTTCCTGTGTTCGGGCTAAAGGCCTGCACACAACTGGTGGACCGTATCAAGAAATTAGGTTATCTCTGAAGGCAACTGGTTGCATTGGGATTTATTTAGATTCATCGGAGTAAAGAAGGTTAAAAACAAATATGGAAATTTGCTTTCTGAAAACGGTCCCTTTTCTCCATTATAACGAGTTTATGATGATCCATCAGATGAAATCCAAACTAAACATTAGAAGGCTACATAAATACCTTCATACTCATGGAAAATTCAACAACAGGTTTTATTACTCAAATGGTAACTGCAACAGGCATGTATCAAAAAGGTCAATACAGCAAAGCCTTTACAAAAAAATCTGGCTCGACACTGAAGTCTTCCCAAAAAATGGCTGTCGCAACAAATTGTAAACAGTTGTATCAACAGTCTTACAGCACTTTACAGCAAAATACAAATCAGCTAAAGTAAGAAAAGCACCTGTTATCATTCCAAAACGTTTCAACACAAACACGACCCGTGCCACTGTACATGACCAAAAACAGAGAAAACCCGACAAACTAAAAGGAATGGAATGTTTTTCAATTCACTCGACTGTTTCTGTATTTGCACTAAAAGAAGAAAAAAGAAACTGGAGTTGTTCCTTACAACAGAAAAGGCAAAGGGACAGTGCATTAAAAAAAACAAAAAAAACAAGCACACCATGCACTTGATGGGAACAGGAGTCGGTTTGGTCACTTAGCATAGTTTGTGCATAGTTATAAGGCATCCGTCGAGCAGTCCGGTGGGATTCATGTGGCTGTGAGAGACATTCTGCACAGAGCGAGTCTCCTTCGGCTTATCCAAGCCAACAACAGGGGGGAAAAAAAGCAACCTTCATCTTATGTAGCCAACCTCCTCGTTCGCTGGATAAAATAAAAGATTGGTAAGACCCTGAGCGAGTGGAGTTGCATGGAGAGGAGATCCAAGTGTGATCTAAGATTCGGACCACCCTGTGGTTGATCAGGACTGAGGATGATGCAGGACCGGAGGTCAAGGAGACGAAGCTGGACCTCATCCGGTGTGCAGGAACAACACTATAGCACAGGTGGAGTTAATATGGCATCTGGTTTGTTTTGAATAAAGTTCAGCTCATGGCTTCAACAGTGGGACGACAGTTCGAACGAGTGGTTCTCATCGTTTTGTACGTCTGTGCTTCAAAGGCAAGCTGTGGAGCCAACGGGAGTCACTTCAGTTCAAGTGGAAAGAGTACAACAAACATGGTGATGTGTAAACAGTCTTCTCAGAGGCAGCAGAAGGACTGGGCTTGTCACATTTCTTTTTTTTTGTTTTTCTTTTACATTAGGAAGAATCTTTAGTACAGATGCAACACGGCATACTCAGAAAGTCTCAGGAGGGTCTGAATACTCCAGCTGTCTGTCAGTTTTTTTTTTTATCTTTGTTTTCAATTGGCACTTCAAAAAATACCAAAAAAAAAAAAACAAACTTTCAGTTTATACTGCTTTCACCTTAACGTTGCACAACGACAACAAAAACTGGCATATTAGATCAATTATGCCTAAAATACAGTCCTTAAATAAATAAAACTAAGCAAATAAAAGAAAAGGAAATACAGCAGTTGCCAAATGAGGTATCTATGTATTGCTCTATGCCAAAAAAAAGAGAAAATTAAATAAATTAAATACAAAAAAAATAAAATAAAAATCAGTGGTTTATCAAGATGTAGGCCAAAGCAACAAAATATCAACAAGGTGTTCAAATTAGGTCAGGCCAGCAGTGGGAGCTCTGCTTGTCCTCAGAGTGGGGGGGTGGGGGGCAAAAACACCGAGTGTCAGGATTCTCTGCTTCCCTGAGGTATTTCTTTGGAGCGGCTTCCTCCTGCTTCTTCACTGGCCGTGCTCAGCTCGGCCTCCTCAGAGACGATGGTTTGCTCCTGCTGCAGGCCACTCCAGCTGGCCTTGTTCAGCCCCATGTGACCCAGCATGGTCTGAGACAGACGGGTGTTGGAGAAACGGGCCCACTCTCCGAACAGCGGCTCTGCAACGTAGGTCATAAAGCCTGGAGGCGATAGATAGTCAGAGGCATTAGTTCTTATCTCTAAACTATATGGTTCCTACCAGGTGTTTAGGTGCACTCATGAATGCACGCATGAATGCACTTAATATTCAAATTTTATTGATGTATTTGGACTTATGGCAGCTGGAGACAGGCCCCTACCTGCTAAGATTGAGACTGGCGCTTTCTTTATTTTTATAACTGGATTAGTTATACCAACAGAAAACTTAATGTTTTAGCAGTTTCCTGTTTATGATTGACCTGAGCCCTGGTTCTTGGCCAACCTTTTTACATTTGAGGGAGACAGTTTAGGTCAAATAAGTAAAACTTTATTATAACTTGGTGCTCCAGTCTCAAGGATAAAGTCGATTGTTGTTTTTTTTCTTATCCATGGCATCAGCCGATGCATGCACACCTTCATGGATTCTAGGGTATCAGAAATCCATTATCAGACAAAAAAAATGAATACTGAATATATTGGCCTAAATCTAAAATCTCAGATATTACCAAGCTGATAGAAACATTCTGCTTTTGTTTAAAGTTTATGTAGCCCAGTGATTAATAAAAAATGGGCCAGTGGTTCTCATACATACTGATGTTGAATATCATTCACTGATTATTAGGACTAGATAAAGCCCTTTCTCTTATTCCACACTAAAAAAATAAGTGATGAAACCAATTGATATCAGTGTCAGTCAATACCTAAAGCTGGAACATCGTTATGGTATCGGAAATGAATCTGGGATCAGGACGCCCCTGGACGATTCATTCAGCAGCCATGCTTATTATGGAGTGAATGCCTGACTGCTCCGTCTATTTGCCGTCCATGGTTGATATTTTGTTGGATTTAGAAATAAATTTTCCTTTTTTTAGTAAAAACTGAATTTAATGTAACATTTGATATCCTTGTACCATTTTCATCATTCAAATGGAAGAAGAAAAAAAACAAGCTACAAGAATTAAGCCTAAAAGAAATTTGCAGTACATATGAGAGATCTGTTAGACTGTGGGTCCACAACCTATGGCTCTGAAGCCACAGTGACTCTAGAACTTTAGAACCTGCTTTAATGTTTAATAACTTTAGAACTTTATGTTTTAACAAAGGTTTCAGTTTTTTTACTCCATTTTTTAACTACTCTGAATGTGTGCATGAGATTGAGCCTAAAGACACAAGAATGTTTTTTAGCGGGAGTATGAGAGCGGTTTTCTGGATGATCAACAACCTTTAAAAAGCCAGACATGCTGAATTCCATTTTGGCCGCTTTTTTAAACCTAAAAACATATTTATAATGGTGTTTCTTTAAAGATACAATTTGTTGTGTGTAGATATTTTTAAAAAACGTTGTATTTTCTTGCCTTTTCTAGAAACACAGAACATTTAAGGTTTATTTAGTTTGACCGAGAGAAGAACTGCTCTTTGGTTGTGAGGGCTTCAGACCCTCCATTAGACTCAAAATAATCAGCCTTAAAAAAAAAAATCCCTATCAGTTAATCTCTACTTAAAGACATCCAAGATCTATCAGAAAAGGAAAAGGGTGCATCTGCAAAAACCCCACCTCAATCTTACTGACTTCTTATAAACTATACTGAGGAGTTCACATTTCTATCAGTAAACCATATTTGATAGCTATAGTGCTAAAACATAAAGCTGGGAATATGCTAGAAGCTATCAATAGCCTCAAAAAGCAACAGAATATGGATTTTATTAAACATGTGTAGGGATGAATTTGACAATATTTGGATTAGATAATTCACTAAACTTCCCTTACAGGCAAAATAATGATTCAAGATGCATTATTAGGATGGATGTTGCTGCCCATACGTATCTATAATGGTAAATATTGTTTATAGCTAGCATGCTCACCTATTTGGATGTTGCTGATGGTGTTCTTCTCTCTGTCACAAAGTGGGCTAACTTCAAGTTTGTGTTTCTTCTCGATGTCTCCTGCATGAAACAAGCGCGGAAATGAAGTAAATGATTTATGCATAAACAGTTTTAGAGTGAGAGCAAATTAAAACTAAAGCACAGAGCAAGTGACTGAATATAACGTGTGTCACGGATACCCTGTTGGAAAAACTCC